TGTTTATGTTGGGAGACTGGCTGGCAGGGAGAGAACTTCAGAACTGTTTCCTGAATGTTTTGGGCACTAAAGGGTTGGGAGTGGGGCGTTCCCCCTACCTGGGAGCTGAGCCCAGCAGGGATGTGTTCTCCTCTTTCCTGGGCTGTGTGACTTGGAAACAAAAGAATGGTGGAGCTGCTGGGAGCCTGCCCCTCTGGAAGCAACAGACGTTGGCACTTCTGGATAATAGTAGCTGGCATGGGAACCAGGACTCCTGGCTCTCATCTGCTTTTTCCATGGGCCAGTCTCTGTAGCAGGGAGCAGGCCAGAACTCTTGGTGAGGTTTGGGGCCCTGCCCTCCCTGAGCTAGCTGGAAGTTTCCAGTTCCGCATCCAAGAGGGGCTGGGGGTACTCTGTTGTGTGAGAGACACGTGTGCATTTTGCAGAATCCTGTGATTGACTTGTTTTAAAATGTCAAACTTGGAAATTCCATAGAGCTCCAGTGGAGGCTGTCTGCTGTTCCCCTGTAGAGCACCATTTTGAAACCCCCAGGTGCAGGCCTTCTGGACTCTGCCCACCGTTTCATTCTATGGACCACCTCTGCTCGGACCACATAACAGCCCTGTGGCAGACTGACTGCCTTATCTGCCTTTCAAGTAACCAGAGCGTGAAGGTGGGGCAGCCAGAGCTGACACCGGGCTCAGCCAGGGAATCCTGTTTGGTCCCTTTGGCTCAGCACCCATCAAAGTGTGTCCCATGCCTCCCTGCCTCCACCACAGGCCTCCTCAGTCACCAACCACCCAGCAGTTGGATGTGGATGGCTCAGGAACAGAAGCTAAATTCATATGAACTCCTCAACCAGAATAGAGTTGAGCTTTTGCGGGGCAATTTGGAAGCAGTGGGGTGCAGAGAAGAGAGGGAGTGCTTGCGGGGAGGGTCTGATAGATGAGGATTTAAATCTTAACTGTTTTTTCCTCATCAGTGTTACTTTGGGCTCTGAGCCTCAGCTTTCTCCTCATTATTTTCTTCTTTTATGGATCACAGCTGTGTGCCCAGCACATACTGGGGAATATAAAGTCCTTACTGGGTGACTGTGGGGTCACGTCTGCAGCGGGTGTAGTGTTCACTTGTACTCTGTCTGGTCCAGCTGTAACGTGCAAAGCTCTGAGGGTACACACGTTTTCGGGTGGTGGAGGGGCTCTGACCAGGGGAGGTGGCCAGTCCGATGGTCTGCTACCTTGGGCCTCACGAGAATGTCTTGGATGCCAGAGCAGTGTGGAAAGTGGAGGTGCTGCAAGCAGAAGCGTTCCAGTGGCCAGGCGCCGACTGCCTCCGCCCCCAGAGGCCTAGGGAAGGCTCGCAAGGACTGCTTGTTGGCTTTTTTCCTGCCTGCTTCTGTCTTCTGCCTCTTCAGGGCATTTCTTCTCTGATAAACTCTGAACTGGAAAAAGAAAGTCGGGGGATAGATCCTTTGCCATTTTCCATGATTTCATAATAGTGTCTGAACAGTAGGGAAGTTTCCAGGCCCTGCCTGCTTGCCAAATCTATCCCATGTTCCTAGTCAGCCCCACCTCCCACAGGCATCTGAGCACAGGCTCTGGGAGAGTCCTGTCGACCCTCCAGCCAGCTTTCTAAATATAGCCTCCTCCTCGGACATCTGAGTGGCCTGCTTTTCCACTGCCAACGGCTAGGCTGCTTGTCAGACTCCTCCATTGGCGCAGGAGGGAGTGGTGGGGCCTGAGCCCAGGCTTCTGTCTTTGGACCCTAGTGACATTTAGGTCCAGACATCTTGGCGGTGGCCTTGCCTATCAGTCTCTGTCTTGTCTCTGAGGATGTGTGGGACCAGAGGGTGTCCTCCAGGCTGGCTCTGCTAAGTTTTGACTGTGAGAGAGGAGACTGGTTGGCACTCTCTTGAGGAATAGAAGAAGTATGATGTCCTTTCTGGGGCAAAGTGGACTGAACCCATCTTGAGAAACAAACCAACTGTGCCTTCGAGTTTCAGCTTCACAGCTGACCATTTGATACCTGTGGTGGGCCCTTTGGCTTCAGTTTCGGGGTCCATGTCTGTGAAGTGGAGATAATACTTGAGCTGAGGAGATTAAAGAGGGTTTGTGCCAGGGCGTCAGGGTGGGGTAGTGGCTGCTGCCACATCTGAAGGGTGTGTGGCCCATATGACATCTCACCCCATGTGCTGTCCAGTGCAGTGTGAGGACCTGTCTTCTGCCCTTGGGTTCACCCCTAACAGCCTCCCTGTACAGAGAATCCCTCTTCTAGTTCTTAAGGTCTAAGAGGCAGGAGAACCTGGGAGACATCATAAATTCTTCATAAACCAAAGTCCAGAGCCACTCTGCTCTTCAGCCTGGGAAGCAGCCAAGCCTCACTGTCTCCTCATAACCCTCTACTTCATATCTCCCCTCTCTAGAACCATCCCGGGGTCTGTCAGTGCAGCCCTGTGGCCATCTCAAATCACTTCCTACTCATAGCAACCCTGCATAGGGTTTCTGAAGTTATACATCTTTATGGGAGCAAAAAGCCTCATCTTTTCCCCAAGGAGTGGCTAGTGGGTTTGAACTACTGACCTTGTGGTTAGCAGTCCAGAACTTATCCTACAGTAAGTGCAGAGGCCCTTAAAACATGTGCCCAAATGTGAACATTAGACCCTGAGCACAGAGAAGATAAACTGGAACTGAAAAGAATAAAAACTGAGGGAGGACTCCAGGGAAGTAAGCAGAGAATGTCAGAAATATAGACTCCCAGGAGAGCCTGCGCCTGGATCTCTCAGTTCTGCCATGCTCCCCCCAACCCCCTCAGTTCTGCTCACAGTTAGAGGCCTGACTTCCTCCTCAGGTCTCTAAAGCAGGAAAAGGTGGGGCCCTGCCCTCTTACTGCTAAGGGGCCCCCAGGAGAAGCTCAGTACTAGTAACCTTTACTGTAAGGACTGCCTGGGTTTATACAGAGAGGCTAACGCATCCCAGGAACGTGACTGCTCTTGTTAAGCTGTACAAACTACTGCCCGTCTATGTGCGTGCTGGTTAAGTCAGGACCAGATGTTACATCCCACCATGACAAGGACAGACATCTGGAGCTGTTGTTGGAAACATAGGCTCCCAGGTTCTTTGATAAGCTCTAGGCCCCAGGCAGGGATGCTCTGGGAAATCAACCATTGGATGGGTTGGAACATAGGAACCATTTATAAAACATTAATTCAAAATAATGGTGCCATGAAGTAGGTCCTGGTTTATCCTCATTTTTAAGGTCATACAGCTATTGGGTATCAAAACCGGGATTCTGAACCCTTAGAGTCTCAAGGTTTCTGGTATAACCAACAGTCCTCAAAAGGCATTCTTGAGGGCCTCTGGGAATTGGCAACTGCACATGGACAACAGGCAAGCTAGTGGGTTCTGTTATACCAAATGCAGCCCTCCGTAGGGCCCTGCCTGAGCCTGGACCACACAAAATTGAAGCAGGGAGAGCCCCAAGTTTTCTTGAGGGGAAGTCATGTTGAACAGACCTCTCAGAGTTCTTGTAGGTAGTAAATAACATGTAAGCAGCAGAAACCAGTAGCTTTAATGGATTTAGGTTTTTCAATAGTATTTGGCAGAGTTCCATGCCAAATTCTCACCTTACTTAGAGAAAACCAAAAAGCGTTGCATTGTGGTTTTTCGAGGACTGCCTTGTCATGTCTCTAGACTGGCTGACCACACCTCAGTTGAAGCTCTGGCAGGAATCCAGTCTCCTGCATCAGGCTCCTGAAACAACACACTACATACACCTCTTCAGAATCTCCCACTATAGGTCTGTCATTCTGGATCACCCAAATTTGAAAAATTTAAGTCTGTTCTGGTTTTGCAGCATCAGCTATTACTGGATCAGTTTGAAGTCCCACTTTGTGTATCCAGCTCCACATGCCCTTTCAGGATGGACTGTGCCACCTTGCTTCCCCAGGCCCCTGACTGGAGATGTCTGGGACTTCCTCACTGCTACATCCAGAGCCTGGAGTCTACTCTACCCTAAGAAGGGTCCACTGGCCCCTAAACAAGCCCACTACCTGGGGCAGTTGCAGCCTCCCTGAGCCTGCTTCCAGGTGGCACCATGGGAGGTGATCCCTGGCTCCGGAGTCCTGGTGTGATAAACACAGGATACAAAAGGAAAGGATTCAAACCTACAGCTGCCCCTTGGAAACCCTATACAAGGTTGTTCTGAATCAGAACGGACTCAGTGGCACTTAACACAATAGCAATTCCGATCTCTAGGCCTCTGAGTGGCATTAATGGTTTAGCGGAAGAAAACCTTGGCGATTTGCTTCCATAAAGATTACAGTTATCCTGTATAACGCATGGGGTCTACACGGTTGGGATGAACTCAACAACAGAGGGTTTGGTTTTTGGGGGTTTTGCTGCCTGTGAGGGGGAGTCACTGAGATGGTGAGCTCCGCGCCATGTAGGGTTCCAGGAGGGCTGTTCTTGGTATCTTCCTCCTCTTCTCCTGCCCTGGTCCCCCACCTTAGAGCTGCCGGACCTTAGGCCTGATAGCGGGACTCTGCTTCCTGGCCATTTCTCCAGCCTGTGGGGCAGAGCCAGCAACCCTATGAAGGAGGTACTAGAATTCCAGCCCTTTATTTGGAAGCTGGCAGCTGCTTTTGCTTTGTGACCAGGGCGCAAGGAGGCCTGGCTGCACCGCTCCTAGGCAGGGACTCCAGCTCTTCCTGTGCTGTCGCGCCGGCCTGTAACTCATTAGCATTTTTTACTAAATCTCTCTGTTCCACGTAGACTAGCTCTTGACTCTCTGCCCTGGGTGTGTGTGTCTGAGGGGTGGAGGCTGCACACAGACACGACACTGAATTGGGGGTGAGTTTGAGGGTGAGGAAGGCAGGCCTTGCTCTGGGTGGGAGTGACATGTGCACTTAAGGCTGGCAGCGGCAGAACTCTGGAGACCTACTCCATGATGGTCAAGATGTGGGGAGCAGGTGAGGCTTCCATATGCAGCCCACAAAGCTGAGGGGCTGCCCCTCCCTTCCACAGGAGTGCATCATTGACGAGGACTGTGGGACGCGCAGATACTGCCAGTTTGCCAGCTTTGAGTACACCTGCCAGCCGTGCCGGGACCAGCAGACAGTGAGTGTGCCCAGCACCCAGAGACGGGCCTAGGGGGAAGACCCAGCCTAAGGGGTTTGTAGCCACCAGCTCCACACTGCAAATCACTTGTCAGTGTGGGGGAGGGACTTTGTCAGGAGAGTCCCCATGGGACCAGCCTCCCCACCCCACCCAACCCCACCCTACAATCCACATCTACTGCCCAAAATGTGCAGAGAGGGAGAGGAGGGGAGTAGGAGGCCCCCACTGTCCCTTCTCCTAGGAGACACAGCCAGAGACACCTGGGCAGCCAGGGCGGGAAAAGTGGTTCCTCTCCAAAGTCTACCCATTCCTGGTAACTTTTCTAAAGGCAGGCTTGAGTCCTGTGGCCAAGCTCCACGGCAGCTGGGTACATTCTCCAGGGTCTCCACTGCCTCCTCCCCACATTGGGAGCACGTTGGCTGCACCCCCTGTGGGAAGGAGGGGTTGGGGTTCTCAGCCAAGCTCCCTGCCCCTGCTTTACCCACCCTCCTGCAGCCCTGCACCCGGGACAGTGAGTGCTGTGGAGACCAGCTCTGCGTCTGGGGTCAGTGCTCCGAAACAGTCACCAGAGGTGGCAATGGAACCATCTGTGACAACCAGAAGGACTGCCAGCCAGGGCTCTGCTGTGCCTTCCAGAAAGGTAGGTGAGCCCCACCAACCAGAAGCTCCCAGAGAATGTATCCTTGTCCCCTGAACGTCACCTGGCCGCAGGCCCCTTCCTGGGGCAGAGGTGGGGCAGCATCCAAGCTGCTGCTGAGTTGATTCTGATTCATACTGAAGGAGTCTGTGTGGTGCTGGAGGATAAGCACTGGGCTACTAACCACACGGTCAGTAGTTCAAGCCCACCAACTAGTTTCTGCTCCTGTAAAAATGTACAGCTTCAGAAACCCTATGTGGGGTGGCTTTGAGTCTAACTCAACTCCACAGCAGTGAGTGAGGCGACGTGGATGCTGAGAAAAATTATAAACTCTTGTAGGATGCATGAGCCCAGGAAAGGAGGAACAGTCCTAGCTGGGTGCTGGGTGGTCTTGGGATTAGAGCAGCCCACCCACTGGACTCCTGTGGTGCATGCACTCCCACCTTGTATTCTCACCAGCCCCCTCCTCCAGGCTAGTGCTCCCTAGTGTTGCCTCAGCCCCGCCTCCACTCACCATCTCCTGCTGATTCCAGTTTACCTTCAGGGGGATGTTGGGGTTTCCCACTTCCATCGGTCTGTCTGTCTTACTGGCCCCTCATGAGCCCTAACTCATGTGTCCTCCTTCGTGCTCCCAACACTTATGTGTGCTCCAATGCCTTCCCTTGCTCCAGAGCCCCATGCCTTTGTGGGTGTTGTCCTCAGGCCTTGAATACCTGTGCTCCATGCTCCACTTTCTCCAGGTGCCTTTGGCCTCAAGCCCCACCTCTTCCAGGCAGTCCTCCTGGATTGCACCTCCTGAGCTTATGTTAACACTCCTGTTTCCTCACATCTCACCTTGAGTTTGGGGCTGAGGAAGGAATGGAGGTGGGGGCTACACCCTGTTTCTCTGCCCTGCCTGTGAAGCCTGCCTGCCTGGAGCTTGGCATGCGGGCTAACTCTTGCTGGTTCCAGGCCTGCTGTTTCCTGTGTGCACGCCCCTGCCCATGGAGGACGAGCTCTGCCACGACCCTGCCAGCCGGCTTCTGGACCTCATCACCTGGGAGCTGGAGCCTGATGGGGCATTGGACCGTTGCCCATGTGCCAGTGGGCTCCTCTGTCAGCCCCACAGGTGAGGCCCCACCTGCCCTCCCTAGCAGGGTACCATCTAGGAGCTGAAGCAGGGTTTTACAGAGGAGGATGTGAATTCAGTGTCCCTGAGTCACCGATGGATTGTCTAATCAGCAGTCAGATAGGTAGATCTAGAGATGGGAAGAGGGTCTGGGCAGGAAATACAGATTTGGGAATCATCTAGAAGGGGATGGTCCAAGGAGAAAGTCTAAAGGGGAAAGAGTCGACGGTTAAGGACAAAGCTCAGGTCTATCACCTTTGAAGGTCAAGCAGAGGAAGGAACTGGCAAAGGAGACCTAGAAGGCAAAGTCCCAGAGGTATGAGGAAAGCCAGGAGAGGGGCCACAAAGATGGAGGACATCAGCTACAGTCTCTAAGCTGCAGAAGGGCTGAGAAATGTCAAGTTTCCAGGGCACATCTTACTCGGTTCTCAGCAGACTCTACTCATTCTTCCCTGAAGTGGAACCCAGAGGGCTGAGAACATGGGCAGAATTCCACCTTCCCCCCCTCCCCCGCCCCCCCAGCCCCCTGCAGAAGTCTGGGGCTCCACTCAGGCAGCTAAGTGGCTGACTATGCCCTGCTATTAGGGGCCGCCTCCTGTCCAGGGACACAGATGGGCAGGGGGCTGAAGAGGGTCGTGGGGTTGTTGTAAAGTCTCAGAGCCCAGGGTGTGTGGGGCCTGGCCCTGGATTGCTAAGCCTGTGAGAGTTTGTTGCATGAAGCCAGGCCTGTAGCTACAGGTGAGGGTGGGGGTTGGGAGTGGTGATAGAGGAAGCTGCCCACCCCCCCCACAAGTACATTCTCCCAAAGTGACCTTTCTTCAGCAGTGTTAAGGTACTGACCTGAGGTTATGACTGTAGCATAGGAGCCCGAGGAGGCCATGTGAAAGCAACACCATGACACCCACAGGCAGTGAGCAGTGTCTTTGTTTCAGGTCTGGGCCTCATGCCCAGCCTTGTCCCCATGGGAAGACATAGCCCTCAGATGAACCACAGCTCTATCTCTCCCCAGCCACAGCCTTGTGTACGTGTGTAAGCCAGCCTTTGGTGGGAGCAGCGATGAAGTCAGAGAGAGTCTGCTACCCAGGGGGGCCTCGGATGAGTACGAAGATGGAGGATTCATTGCGGAAGTGCGCAAGGAGCTGGAGAGCCTGGAGAGGAACCTGTCTGAGGAAATGGCACCCAGAGGGCATGAGGTAGCCTCTGAGCTGCTGGATGGAGAAGAGATTTAGATCCAGACCTGTTCTGCGGGTAGATGTGCAATAGAAATAGCTAATTTATTTCCCAGGTGTGTGTCCTCTAGGTGTGGACTCATCAGCCTTCTTTCCATTTCCTCTTCCCAGTATATATTCCCTCTGGCTTGAAACGTCTGCCTTGACGAGATGAGGTGCTGTGCATTTGACCCGAACCACAAGACCATACACCACCATCACCGTTTTGATGCTTGGGAAGGACGAGCGTGGGAGGATGAGGGTTCTGGGGCGAGGGCAAAACTGGGCTTCTAGACTTGGTCTGAATGATTGTCCACTTTGCCTGTTATGATTGGCAGATGGCATATTTTCTTCTCTACCACTATGAAACTTGTTTGAAGGAAGGGGATGAGGAAGAATGTGGCGTTTCCCCACAATGGGTTTTGAGGGTACATGTGGACAAGAATGCCTTGCTTTGCAACTAAACCTGGTGAAGATGCAGCAAGTGACATTTTCATGTAACTTCGCGGTGCCCTCAGCCACTGCAGATGGAGTGTTCTGCTCACTCTGGGTTCCATTCATTCATTCATTCATAATTTTCACTTGGCTCCTACCTCGTGGCACCCAGCACTTCCACATCTATGATCATGTGACACTTTCATGGCAGTTTGGGGAGGGAGGCATTATTCTCTCCTTTGGTCTGTGAGGCTCACATACTTCGTTTCTTGCCTATATCAACTAGTGAAGACTATGACAGGATTTTACTCAGATAAGACTCCAAGTCCAGTGCTCTGTCCCCTTCTCTACACCAACCTGATGCCACCAGAAGTTACCCCAAAAGGAAGGAGGAGGAGGATTTTTTTTTAAGGCACTTCTGAGATGAAGGTCAAACTAATTTATACATCCTGGTAAGATTCAACTTGTGCTGTTAGAAATATCAGTGTTCTACCCTGTGTGAGGATGGCCATCATTCAAGAGAAGACAAATGGGACTGATATTGTCCCTTGTGGCATTTACATTAGTGACTTTGAAGGTCCCTGACAGGAGCATAATGCATACATTGACTTGTCAGGAGTAGGACCTGGACAATTATCAGGCTAGGATTATAAATGAAATTTGCCAAATTAGTTCATAGCAACTGAAGACCAAGAGCAACCACATGGAGAAAACCAAAATCAGTAGGTTTGCGTTTCCAGCTGCCGTGGACTGTTTCCATCATGTGTCCAGCCAGAGTTATTAAATTCTGAAGTCGCGCATGATTGTATAAGCATGCTTTCTTTGAGTTTTAGGTTATGTGTAAACACATATGTTGCATTTGGAAGCCAAGCATAAATCACTTCAACTACTCTACTGTAGTTCTTGGAGTTCTTTCTTCCCTTTGACTTTGAATAAACCTAAAAGATTGACCAAGGGTAGCATCGATGGACTCAAGTGTGACAACAATTGAGAGGTTGACCCAGGATCAGGCAGTGTTTCGTTCTGTTTTGCATAGGGTCGCTATGAGTCGGTATCGACTGGATGGCACCTACCAACAACAACAAAAACCTTTTTGGCTAGAAAAAAACCCAGAATGACCAGCATGGTCAAAGATAAAAACAAAAATTGTTCCAAATAAGTAAAATTTCCAGACAACAAAAACCTTTTTGCACACTTCTTTTTGCATCAAAATATTATAAAAATATGAACCACTTTTGATGGGAATTAGCCTTAAATGTGCAAATGCTTCTTTGGTTTTCTGAAAGAGTAAATGGATTACATGTAACTCTTAGGAGTCTTCTATTTAATCAAATGCAGTTCTGGGTCATTACCAATGAGACCTTCAAGAACTATAATCATAAATATATTAAAGGTCAACGGAGTGGCAGACACAAGATTAGGCACTCTTGTTAGCCCATTTAATCTTCATGGAATCCATGAGCATTTTCTCTATTTAACAGATGAAGAAATGGAAGGTCAAAGTCAATACAAGCAGCCTCGAGCACAGAGCACCTAGGGCATTCTACTTTAAAGAAATCGTTTTTGCTGCTGGGAATATACACAGCAGAACATACATCAATTCAACAATTTCTTCCAGTACATGTCAGTGACAGTGATTACATTCTTCAAATTGTGTGACCGTTTCTCTTCTGCGTTTTGCGAATTGTTCCTTCCTGTTAACATAAATTCATTGTCCCCTAAGTTTTCTAATGAATTTTTCAAGTTGCTTTGTCAATTTGATCCCATCTAGAGCCCTGGTGGGGTGCTGTAGGCTAATCAGTGGACTGGTAAATCCCAGGTCAGCAGTACAGACGCACCAGCCATTCTGGTAGCTATGAATTGAAATCCACTTGAAGGCACACAACAACAACAGATATTAAAAGAACAGAATGCTTAATTAAGGCAGGCATAAAACTCCTGTTTGGTTTTTAAGAAAACTTTAAGGGATATTTTTGGTTTAAGGTTTTAAGATTACCTCAGGGCAGTCATTTCAGGGGTTCATCCAGTCTCCATTCTGCCAGAAAATCTGAAATTCTGTGAGAATTTGGAATTGTGCCCTGAATGTTCTCCCTTTTGATCAGGATTCTTGTAAAGAACTTTGAATCAAAACCTTGAATAATGGGAGCCGGGCATCACCTGGTTCTGATCTCAAGGCCAAGAAGGCAGTTGTTCCTGCAGGCAGTTTGCTACATAATTTGCACTTGGATGGCTGCTTTGGCAGATTTTAAGACCCCAAGCACTAAACATGATATTAAGCCAATTACCTGGGTTTTCTGCTTAACTTAAGATCAAATATAGAACTGTTCTCTATCCAATGTCAAAAATTACCTGGACCACTCTACCTACTTACTTCATCTGTGCACTCAACAGATGTTTACTGTGAGCCTGCTCAGAACCAGATGTTGTTGGTGCAGTGTTTTCCCAGACGGGGCCCCTGCCCCAAAGGCACTCAGGGTCAAATGACGGCGATACAGCTAAAGCAAGCAATGCCGAATCAAAAGCACTGCAACCCCGTATGTGTGGATGCCTCAAAGGATCTCTCGGGGGACTGATGTGTGAACTGGCTCTTGAAGGAGGATAGGAGTTTATTAGCAGGTCAGGAAGAATAGGGAAGGGTATTTTGGTCATGGACGAGGGAGAGAGGCAACACATATGCCATGTGGGGAAATCTGCAGGTAATGAATAGCAGCTGGAGGACACGGGAGAAAGCTTCCACAGATTGGCAGTTTAGAAACCCCTGGGGGCAACCCTGCTCTCTCCTATAGGGTAGCTGTGAGTCAGAATCAGTTCAGCAACAGTGGGTTTTGGTTTGGGAAGGACAAGTTAAATTTGGGGAAGTGTTGGGAAAAGAAGCTGAGAATTACTTTATCCAGGTTCTATGCTAGGTGACAGGGAGACAGTGGCTGATGATAAACACTAGGTCCTTCCTTTTTGTTACCATAGCCACAGACATATAAGAATATGAAAGGCTTTATAGAACACTTTACTGAAATCCAGAAATAGAGTAGTTGATGGGTCTAACTCCTCTGCTCACAATTCTAAATGGAATGTGTTGAGAGTTAGGGTTCAGGGTGGAATTTGACACTCAATTCTTGCTCTTTTCTCTTATTCCAGAACCAGAGTTACTTGTCAAAGTGTGGCTATAATCAATCCTCTTTTTCTTCTCCTTCTCCCACCAGACACTTGTTTCCCCAGCCTCCTTTGCAGCTAGGGATGACCACATGACCCAGTTCTGGCTGTGATGTAAGGGGAAGACCTGTTAGGGAGTTTTTGGGAAGGCAAGTTTCCAATAGCTGCTGTAACAAGTTACCAAAGACTTGGTGACTTAAACAACACAAATTTATTTTCTTGCAGTTCTGTAGGCTGGAAGTCCAACATGGATCTCTCAGCTAAAATCAAGGAGTAAGCAAGGCTGTAGTCCTGTGTAGAGGCTCTAGGGAAGAATCCATTTCCTTCTTTTAGTTTCTAAAGGTTACCCAGATTCCTTGACTGGTGAACCCCTGCAAAGCCAGCAGCAGATTGAAAACTTCTCTCAGAGTTTAAGGACTCGTGTGATTACATTGAGTCCACAGGTAATCCAGAATAATCTTCCCAGGTGAAGGTTCTTAGTATACCTGCACAGTCCCTTTTGCCATGTGATGTAAATATTCACAGAATCAGGGAATTAGGACATGGGCATCTTTAGGGTTGGGGCAGGGGAGATTGTTCTGACTACCACGGATAGATAAGAATCCAGGACTTTGATGACTTCAGGAGGAAAACAATCCTGGTACCAACCATTATCTTCACTCCTTCTATAGAGGAAACCAACATTACTATAAAGCTGCTCTGGTAGCATAGTGGTTACGAATCGGGCTGCTAACCTCAAGGTCGGCAGTTTGAAACTACCAGCTGTTCCACGAGAGAAAGATGAGGCACTCTGCTCCTGTAAAGATTTATAGCTTTGGAAACCCTGTGCAGGGTCACTATGAGTCGGATCGGACTCCATGGTACTTAACAACAACCTTTCTGTATTTGAAGCACTCTTAAGTGTAAGATGAATAGCCAAAGGGAGAACAAAGTACAATTGTATTAATCCCAACCCACCCACTTCGCACCCTCCAATGTTGTTGTGAAGTGCTGCTGAGTCGTTCCAACCCATAGTGACCCTGTATCGGGTTTCCTAGGAGCAGCTGGTGAGCTTGAATAGAGTGCTAGAAAAAGCAGGGTTAGCAAATACAGTGTTTGGATGCAAAGTCAGCTTCCAAACCACCGGCACAGACAAGAATGGCTAGCCTGCCTACCCACACAGCCTCAGACTGCACAGGAGAGATATGCTGGAGCCAAAAAGATGGCTGCAGATTTCCTCAACTCTCCTTTGCCGACTGCTCAGTTTCTTCTACTCGGCTAATCCCGTAAGGAGGCTCCTGGTTCTTTGGGCTTTTGATCCAGTTGGAAGGGTTGCAGGGTAGACGATGTAAACTGGAGAGAAGCCAAGGGGCTTCTGTGATGGGGTAGAATGAAGAAGGGGTTAAATCTTGCTGTATAGTCTGTGGACCCCCTTCCATACAGTAAGAAATGCGACTAAAGAAGAGACATTTGGGGCTTATCTTCTGAGAGTGAGGCTGGACCAGCAGTTGTAGAGGTCAGCACCTTTTGCCTCCGTGGTAGCAGCAGCACATAAAGACTGGGGGGTGGGGTGTTAGGAAATCCCCCTTTGGGGATGCTGCAGTGCTTGGAAAATGGACGTTCCCCTTCCTTCCCTTGACTGAAAGATTTTAGAGCAACATTCATAAGGTGTGTATGAGCTGTTGGGGGGTGGCTCTGGGTAAGCTGACTTGGCACCAGTCTAGCCCAGGACCAGCACCAAGGAGAGAAGGAATTGGAGTGCCCGGGTAGAGGGGTAAGGACCACACCTTTGAGTCTCTGTTAGATCCTGAGAGGCAAAGATGATGGAGTTTGACAGTATCCAGATTCCCAGACAGGCGGATAGAAGAGTGATTGAAGACTTGCTGCGACCCACTGCAGCATGGGACAGAGTGGACCATGTTTAGGTGGAATGCCAGCAGGAGGTTGAGCAAAGGATATAAGGAAAGCCCAATGCTGTTTGGGGAGTCCTGCTGTGGTGCACATACTACTAACAACAAGGTTGGTGGTTCAAACCCACTAGTCACTCCTTGGAAACCCTATGCAGGGCTGCTTGGAGTCAGAACTAACTCCACGGCAGTTAACACCAGTGCTGTTTGGAATTGTCTTTTGCTGGCAGGTCCTGTGGGGAAATAAACCTGCCTTCAAGTCTGCAATGGTGATGGCAAAAGAGGAAGTGTGACTTTACCACTGCCAGTGGGAGGTTGCGTGTATAAGTGAATGTTTTCCCCTCGTTTTCTTACACCAGTAGGATAAGCACTGGACTGCTAACTGCAAGGTTGGTGGTTCAGACCCACCAGTCACTCCCTGGAAACCCAGGACAGGGTCACTGACTAAAGGCACTAACAAGAGCAGTAGAGCTGGTGAGGGAAGAGGGGGAAGGAAGCACATCTAACCAGCACTGGGGGGAGCTCAGAATCAGACAGCTGAAGCTCTAAGACCAGTCTGGTTTAATAATCCAATGACACTTGGGCTATCGGATGGCTGAGAACTTGATGAAAGCCCGTTCCAGAGGGAAATTGCATTCGACCACACTGTTGGCCTGGTGTGGCGCTGTGGGTTAATGCGCCAGGCTGCAAAGGCTGCCTCCCCAACCAGACCTCCCTGGCCTCTAGTCATTGTGACATTTTTTTCTAAATGGTCACAAGTGCTTAAATGCACCTTTAATTTTGTTATGTAGTCTTCTGAAAGTTTTGATCTGACCTAGTGATGGGCTCCCCCTCCTCTCCACAGGAGCTATCCTGAAAAAGCACCTTCTGCCTTCTTGTGCACTAAACCTGGGTGTCTACAAGTTTTATTTGGACCCACTCTTGAAAATCTGATTTATAAAAATATTTTACTCCCAGAAAATTACACATATGCAATTTTGCATTTGATTTCAGAAGTTATGACCATGTATAAAGCTTTTGGTACAAGCCTGATAGTGATCAGAATATCAGATTTTCAAAAATTACACATTATTGTTTGGATGGAATAGTTTTATTTAGCAAAAAAAATGAAACTTTCTAATAGTCTTCTATTCCAGGTACTCTAGACTACAATTTGCAAGTCACAAGTGTAAAAAGAGTTGGTTAGGGCCTTGATACTGAACAAAGAGGTAAAATACAAAGGAAGAACTCCAGTGTCCAGTAGAAAAGGAAAGACATTTAAATACTAGTCAATGAATCAGAATAAAAGACTTTATTGTATTCCATACATTCACAGTCACTTCCAGGTTTATTAACAACACTGCAGTGCTACGAGGCTGTATGCTCATTTTGCTTAGACCACATCATACGTCAGTAGCTCTCGCCTCCTCTCTTAGTCTAAAGATGGACCACAACATCATTTCTAACAGTGTGGCTGAAAACCAATATAATTTCCTTGTACTATTTTCTAGTTGGGGTACAGATCCAGCCCCATTTTCTCAGAATCTTAATATACTTTCCAATTACATTACAAAAGAGACCACCAAATAGTCCAATATAGGGCTCCTTCATACACAATTTTAATCCCATGTTGACTACCAGCCCTAATATATACTTCCATAGTTTGAGAAGAGGACCTCCAACTAGCAAGCTGCTATTTTGGCCAGAGTGCACCCCTCGCCTTAAGCATCTGCCTCAGAAATACAGGTACTTGGCTCTCACAGGGTGTCCAGGGTTGGCACAAATCCATTTGCCCCATAGTAAAAGCTCTTCAAAGCCCTTGAGGGATCTGTGGGGAGCATGTGGCCTGCCTCAGTTTCAAGACTCAGGAGACTCTCCCACATAGTCAGTACTTGCCCTCCGGAGTTACAGATGCTCCCTTGAATCTGACACATGTAACCCCCCCTGCAAGTGACTGCTCCCACTGCCACAATTTCACTTGGAAAAATTCACCACTCCCTTTACTGAAATATATAAAGTGCAACCTTGTGTTTTCACTTGCTCAGGCACTGAAAAGCAAGGGGCTTTTAACTTGTTCTCCTCTTTATGAAACATATTTTCTCTACTTGGTATTTGCAATATGCCTGCAATTAGAAGCAACAGTTAAAAACAGAACAAACAAAAATAAACCAGAGGGCAGAAGGCACAGAATGAGGAGTAGGTGTGGGAGGAATTTTATCATTTACTTGTAGAGGAACAAACAAACCAACTCAAACCAAACCAAAACACCCCAAAGTCCATTTTGATTACAAGCCTGACTCCTCTGCTAGATGGGAAGTCAGGCCTTGGAAGTAGAAACCCTATTTATCTGTGTCTATATCCCGAGTATGCAGAATCACACAGCGGTCATATTACATTAGAAAATCCAAGTGATGCAAAAGACAATTTACCACAACTGCTTCAAGTTTTCCTTTGCGAATACCACCAGTGCTACCAATGCAGACTCACAAGAGTACCTGAATCACAATTAGCAGACTGCTACATATTTTACATGGAATAAAAATTAGCCAGAAAAATACCTTAGAAAAGATTTCCCCCACCCCCTGGGCGGATTCCAGGAGGCTTTAAGACATTATGGGATTCTCAATTATTATATGCAAACCACAGAGCCAACATCCGCTAATACTATTTTCTAATTATAACTTTCTTAAAAGGAATATAGGATGAGTCTAATTTTGAAATATTAATAGGATCCCCAAAAGTTAAATATCAACATCTTTTCATTTCTCTTATGAGAACTTTACTATAAATATACCTTATATAGAAATGAGATAATTTTTCAATACACATTACAAATGTTAGATATAAAGAAAACAAATCTTTTTTTAACCCAGATTCTCCATCCACAAGTGTTTAATGACTAAAATAACACAACAGAATGAACAAATCTTTTATTGGCATGTTCATTGTTGTAAACAGCATCTGGCATGAAAAAAGTTTTACCAAAACCTTTTATTGATTTTTATAAATTAGATGGCATTTCCAAAATTTCCATAGAATTGTGTTCATTGAGTAGTTTCATTTAGCAAAGCAGAAACTTCCTGATTGGAATAGACTTTGCAATGAAATCATGTTGACTGCAATAGTCTGTCCCGTGGCCTGGTCCTACTAGCAAGTGTACTCAGTCGATGTTAAGACATTCCCCGAAAGTTAAAACTACATGTAAGTAGAAATCAACTCTGAAAATTCAAGTGGACTTACAAGAGCACTAGATTTAAACTTGAAGCAGATCTTCAAAATTAAATGTACAAAAGGAGAAAGGAAAAAAAAAAAAAGAAGCCACTGAACAGAAAAACCTCATTAACAAGGGCAAATACAATCCTAGTGGACCCAGCACTGAGAAACCTAACCGAGGATTACATTTACATAGATTGCTATACTTTTCAATGTACACCAATGTACATAATGAATGTGAAAATAACCATGGGAAAAGTAGCTGAACTGCAATTAGGATAACTCAATAGGATCAATTTTATTTACATGCTGAATGAACGAGTGAGACGAATTCTCTACATCCATAAAGTAAGTACAATCAATTATAATTACAATACTACAGCAATCTGAGCTGCCACCTGCTGGGAGGGGTCTAAGGGAAATATTTTGATGTTCGAGAATAATGTTCTTAATACTCTGCAAAAAAGTGAAACAAAATAGAAAACACAATTTCACAATTCTTTACTGGGTTACGGCTGGTTTGGAGAATTCCTTTCTTCAGCTCCCAATTTTGCTGCTTTCCAAGAGTCAACACACGTTGCATTTACTTACGAATTGTCAATGAGGTAATGTGTGTATCAGTGAAATAAACAGAAAATCCATTCATTCATGGCCTTTGCACAGCTTTTATTATTAAGCTATGAGCATCCTGTTTGAGGCTAGTTTGACTAGCTGCTAGGTGCACATTTGTCCACAATAAAAGAAGTTTACTCATTCCCATTCCCCTTTGCTAGTTGCAGGTTTTGCTTAAAAAAAAGAAAAAAAAAAATTTTTTTTTTTTTTTGCACATCCCTTTTCTCTTTACAGTACATTTGACTATAGTGCACAACATGATTCCAAGTCAAAACAGTGGCCTTCTGATTGGTGAAGGGCAGTCCAATCAGTGCTGGTGTCGCTGGGTTACCCCTAACCAAGTCCAGCCATAATGGCACTACACAGTAGTAGTGAACCATCTAATTAAAACCAAAGCCCCCAGGGAAGATGCTACACTAGCAGAGTCAGTCTTGAGTCAGATCTTTATTTGGTGCTCCATCCAGATATATTTTTAGTGCTTTTTCTTTACGAGGCGAGTACGTTACACGATGTCCAGTCTTCTGGAGTCGACTGCTTTCTTTTTTCATCAGTTCGTTTCTTTGTTCATCTGTCAATTCCATTAATTCTTCTGTTTTATCTCTACAATCAAAATATTGATCATATATTAGACCAGATTAGCTATCTGCCTCTATTAATTTGTGGTTCAATGCCATAATGTTCCTCAGTAAGATAATGAAATATGATTATTACTGAAGTTAAATAATCTCATACATCAGAATGTTTAAAACTTCTAATGTGCTTATTAGTAACATAACATTCATTTCTGAAAATGTAAGTGCATAACTTCCATTTATCATTAATGGCAACAGCTATTATTTTTTGAGTATCTATTGTATGACAGAAGCTGTGCTTATTTCAAATGTGCTAACTCCAATTCTCATAAAATCTACAAATTAAACATTTTCTCTATTTCACAGAGGAAGAGCTAAGTTAAGTTACAAATATTATTTTCAAATGCAGCTTTTTACTTTTCAAAAATGTGGCTATAAGAAAAATTCAAAGTACTTGTGTGCTCACATTATATTTATACTGGTCAATGTCCTGTATCATGTTAACAATGCTTTTGTTAAGTGCTGTCAAGTCAGTCTCAACTCATAATGACCCATATAGGGTCCCCGAAGCTGTAAATCTTACAGGCACAGAAAGCCTCATCTTTCTCCACCAACAGTTGGTGGGCCCAGACCACTGACCTTACAGTTCAGTCTAATATTTATCCTACAGAGCCACTTTGCTCTCCATGTTAACAACAGTACAGATATTTATGGAAAACAAGGTATTTATGCATAACAAAATGTTATATCCCTAGATATATAATAAAAACATTGTGAACGTTACCTATAAAATATGACTGCACCATCATCACAGATATAAAGGGGCCAGACATTCAGTGTAGAAACTTTAGGATTCCAGTCCAAATCCTGATGAATATCAAGAACAGAAATATCGCAGGGAAATGTTCCTCGACCCTAGGGAGAAAAGAGCCCATGAGTCCTGAACCCATGCCATGCTACATGTTCACCACGCACCAGCACAGAGCACAAATGTTCTTAGGGTTTTTACCTTGGCAAATTCAATAGCTTCCAAGGGAATCCCACTGATTTCACTAAGCTGTAAAAGAAAACATTTTATATTAGTTCATTAATTTGCTTGGAAAATTTATTTTCCTTTTTCCCCAAGACAGAAATAGCTTTATTTCCTCCAAAAAGTAGTATGTTGTTGTTGTTAAGTGCCGTCGAGTTCGTTCTGAGGAGTGACTGGTGAGTTTGAACCACCCACCTTTAGGTTCAAACCACCTTGGAGTCCAATAAATTAACATGCAGTACTACATCAGGACTCCAAAAGGTACCACAGGGATTAAAAAATGAAAAAGTAGGACATTAAATTCTCTCCTACTCATCCTCACCCTGCAAATAACCTGAAATAAGCATGCATTATCCGTGGAGTCCTGGTGTAGCGCTGTGGGTTAATACGCCAGACTGCAAAGCCGTTTGAACTGCAAGGTTGGTGGTTTAAGCTCACCAGCTGCTCCTCGGAAACCCTATACGGGGTCGCTTTCGGTTGGAACCGACATGATGGCACTTAACAACAACAACATGTATAACTGTGACAACAATTGTGAGGTTGGCCCAGGACTGGGCAGTGTTTCGTTCTATTGTACATATGGTCGCTATTGAATCGGTACCGACTTGATGGCACCTAACAACAACAATAACAAAAGCCTTTAATATAGGACTGCACTGAAATGAAAGTGAAATATGTATATGTCATTTGTATATATTCAGAATAGTGTGGCACTGCAGGATAATGTGCTGGATTGCAGCGTCGGTGGTTCAAACTCACCAGCTACTCCCTGGATATATACAGGTGACTGTGAGTTGGAACCGACATGACAGCACTTAACAACAACGTAGGCTACATATATAGTTAACACATTTGAAATAAGCACATTTCCTGTAATATAACAGATATTCAAAACATGATAGTTATTATCACTAATAATAAAATGGAAATTATTCTTTGGTATTTTTAGAAATGAATGGTATTTTATTATAAGAAATCTATACAAACAGGACACAAAGCAACCTCATTCTGTTTACTGATACAATGTGCCATTTTATTTCCTACTGATGGATATTTAGTTTCCTGCCTGCCCCCCCCTCCCCCCATACTAAGAATCCTAGTGTGGTACTGTAGGATAAGCACTAGACTGCCAACGACAAGCTTGGTGGTTCAAACCCACCATCCACTCCCTGGAAATCCTACATTATATGTTGGAACCAACTTGAAGGCACTTAATGATGCCAACTACATATATAAGAGGGCTTTAAAAAATTGCTGAAAAAAGGAACGAAAAGATAATGGAATTTTTCATTGCACTGTTTGAAGCCACCTTATATTTCCATAAATAGCCTTACATATCTGAATTCCTAGATGTGGAATTGAACATCTGAAATGTTGAAAAACAGTATCAATATGAATCCTGAAAACTATTATCTATTTAAATACTTATCAAAGATCTATGATATTTTCTTCTTCCCCTGTATTTAGACAATTGTAGGTGGCTTTGCCAATTTGAGAAGTGAAAAATAATATTACATTATAATTTTAATTTGCATTTCTTCTATGAATTGTCTTTTCATGTTCTTTATCCACTTTTAAAATGAGCTAATCTTTTTCCTATTAATATAGTTATTATTAAGTGTCATCTACTGACATGAAACTCTGAGTCCAAGTGACCCTGTGCAGGGTTTCCAAAGAGTGGCTGGTGAGTTTGAATGGCCAACCTTGCAGTTAACAGTCCAGGACTTACCCTACAGTGCCATACCAGCATTCCCTATTAATGTTAGTGCTCCCTTATAAATTACAAATATTGTTTTATATGCTCCCAATATTAATGTTGTTATTGAGTGCTGTCGAGTCAATCCCGACCCATAGCGACCCTGTACAGGGTTCCAAGAAGCAGCTGGTGAGCTTGAATCGCTGACCTTGTAGTTCAAACGACTATTGCATACCCTATTTTCTTGTCATTTAGCTTTATGAGTTTTTTTAAATACCTTTTTTTGGGGGGGGGGGTAATGCAGAATATTTAACTTTCATGTGATCTACCTTTTCATTTTTGGCTTCTGGTATTAAGCTTATAAACATATTTCCCTTTCTAGAATGAATGAGAATATTTTTTGAAAGTTTTGTCTAGTACCTTTGTAATCTTATTTTATATAGTTTTAATCCATTCAGAATTTATTTTTGTGTTTGGTATGAAGTAGAAATATATCTTTTTTCCAAACGGGTAGCCAATTGTCCTATTTCAAATGATTGCATTTTTTAGACATACAGTAAGTTAGCTGGTAATCCTAACTTTATATAAAAGTAATTCAACCAATATATACGAAAGTGATCCATTTCTGAAAGACTGAAGCAAATTTTCAAAGCATCCAGAACCCTAAGTAATATCCAGAATGTAGCCAGAGTGTGGCAGAAACAAAGAAAGGTTGCTGCACCTGTATTGGGCTTTCACTTCCTCCTCTCTCTCTCTTCTGAGACACAGGGAACACTTAGACGGGTGAGTCAAAAAGTATTGCTACTAAGGTTCACATTCATACATGCATAGGCTTATTCCAAACAAATGTGTCTCAACATGGCTGTGATTAGTGATAGCTGTATACAAGTCCAATTAGTCCTCGTTTTATAAGGGTGCCTTCCCCAAAATGCCCAGTCTAACCAATGGCTTCCGAAGGGATTTGCTGGGACAGTTAAATTCAAGGCTATGGTGATTGGGATCCTTTTGGGATTCCAAAGGAGTCATCAGAATGTGGAATATATGAAGCATGAATCTAGGAAAACTAGAACTCGTCAAAAATGAGATGAAACACATAAAGATCAAACCTGAAATGGACTGGTTTGGGTTCTTTTGAATCAGAAAATCCTATGATCTATTATACTTGGAATGATAAATTAAAGAGGAATGGCACCACATTCATTGCCAAAATGTCTATTTCAAGATCTCTCCTTAAGTAAAATGCTGATAGTGAGAGGACAATACCCACATGGATACAGAGAAGACCAGTAAATATGACTAGGATTCAAATTTACATATTGTTGTTATTGTTGTGAAGTGCCATTGAGATGGTTCCAACCCACAGCGACCCTGTATAGGGTTTCCAAGGAGCACCTGGTGAGCGTGAGCCATCAATCTTGCAGTTCAAACAGCTTTGCAGTCTGGCGCATTAACCCACAGTGCCATAATACCAAGTACTAATGCAGTTGGAAAATATGGCCTTGATGAAGAACATGCTCAGCATTTCTCAAGCTGGGGGAACTGAAGTAAAAATTCAAGCCTTGACTTTCATTATTGAAACATTCTCTGAGCAAATTACTGAATGATGCAAAAAAAATCAAGAGAAGATGGAAGTAATACACAGATTCACTGTATCAAAAGGAAATGGTTAATGTTCAACCATTTCAAGAGGTAGCATATGATCAAAAGCCAATGTTACTTAGAGAGGAAGTCCAAGGTGCATTGAAGGAATTGGCAAAGAACAAGGCACCAGGAATTGATGGAATAAAAATTGAAATCTTTCAAGAAAGTGAGGCGGCACAGGAGGCACTCACTCATCTCTTCCAAGAAATGTGGAAGACAACTCTCTGGCCGACTGATTGGAAGAGATCCATATTTGTACCCATTCCAAAAAGAGGTGACCCAACAGAATGTGGAAATCATCGGACAATCTCTTTGATATCTCAAGCGAGTAAAGTTTTGCTAAAGGTAATACAGAAATGGCTACAATCATACATTGACAGAGAACTTCCAGAGGTTCAAGTCGGCTTCAGAAGAGGCCGTGGAACAAGGGATATCATTGCTGATGTCCAATGGATCCTGACTGAAAGTAAAGAATATCAGAAAGATGTTTACCTGTGCTTTACTGACTTTGCAAAGGCTTTTGATTGTGTGGATCATGATAAGCTATGGACAACATTGCGAACTATGAGTATTCTGGAACACTTAATTGTGCTCATGAGGAATCTGTACATGGACCAAGAGGCAGTTGTTTGAACAGAACATGGGAACACTGAATGGTTTAAAATTAAGAAAGGTGTGTGACAGGGTTGTATTCTTTCACCATACTTATTCATCCTGTATGCTGAGCAAATCATCCGAGAAGCTTGGTTATATGAAGAAAAAAGTGGCATCAGGATTGGAGGACGACTCGTTAACAACCTGCAATACGCAGATGATACAACCTTGCTTGCTGAAAGTGAAGAGGACTTAAAACATTTACTGATTAAGATCAAAGAGCACGGCCTTTGATATGGATTACATCTAAATGTCAAGAAAACAAAAATCCTCACTCACCACTGAACCAACAAACAACATTCTTACCAATGGAGAAAAGATTGAAGTTGTCAAGGACTACATTCTTCTTGGATCAACTAACAACACTCATGGAAGCAGCAGTCAAGAAATCAAAGGGTGTATTGCATTAGGCAACTCTGCTGTACAAGACCTTTTTAAAGTGTTGAAGAGCAATGATGTCAGCTTGAGGACTAAGGTGCGCCTGATCCAAGCCATGGTGTTTTCAATAACCTCATGTACATGTGAAACCTGGACAGTGAATAAGGAAGACTGTAGAAGAATTGATGCCTTTGAGTTATGGTGTTGGAGGAGAATATTGAAAGTGCCATAGGCTGCCAAAAGAACCAATAGATCCGTTTTGGAAGAAGTGCAGCCAGAGTTTTCCTTGGAGGCCAAGATGGCCAAACTTCGTCTTCTTATACTTTGGACATATTGTCAGGGGGGACCAGTCTCTGGAGAAGGATATCGTGTTTGGTAAGGTGGAGTGTCTGAGAAAACGAGGAAGACCCCCAATGAGATGGATTGGCCAAGTGGCAGCATCAAGCTTTGCAACAACAGTGAGGTTGGTCCAGGATTGGGCAGTGTATCGTTCTGCTGTGCATAAGGTCGCTATGAGTCGGTACCGACTCGATGGCACCAAACAACAACAAAATGCCAAGGATATAGAAACTGAAGATCTTTTTAATCAACTTCTGTAGTCTGAAATTATCAGCCAAAATGCATTGATAATTACTGGTGACTAGGATGTAAATATGGGAAAGAAGCATTACTTGTAGGAAAATAAGGCATTAGTGAAAGAACACACACCAGAGATCACAATATAGAATTTTGCAAGACCAATGACTTATGCATTGTAAATACCTTTTCAGCAATAGATAAGATACACAGCAATCAAACTGATTACATTTCGGGAAAGAGATGATGGAGAAGCTTAGTATTAATTATAACAAGACTAGGTACTGACTGCAGAACTGACCCATCAATTGCTTGTAGCAAGATCAAATTGAAGCTGGAGAGAATGAAAAGAAGTGTGCAATTAAAAGAGTCAAATATGGCTTTGAGTATATGAGGGGGCTTAAAAAAGTTTCTGGAGAAATTCCACTACCTTTTAATTCCATTTTTCAAGCTTCTTTGTATTTCACTTGAATTTAGAGACCATCTTCAGAAAAGAGTTGATGTACTGAACATTAATGACCAAAGACCAGATGAATTTGTGGGATGTCATAAAAGATACCATACATAAAGAAAGCAAAAGGTCATTAAAAAGACAAGAAAAGAAAAGACCAACATTTCAGAAGATACTCTGAAATTTGTTCCTGAACATACAGCAAAGGTAGAAAAGATGGAGTAAAAGAGTTGAACAGAAAATTTCAAAGGGTGGCTGGAGAAAACAAGAAAAAAGGTATTCTAATGGAGATAGACAACCTAGCCAAAAGGGAAGAATAAGCACAGAATTTCTCAAGCTGAAAGAAGTGCCTCAAGTTGCAATATTGAAGGATTTTACAGGCAAAATATTGAGTGATGCAAGAAGAATTAAAAGATGGAAGGAATACACTGTCACTATATAAAAACTAATTGGTTCAACCATTTAAGGAGGAAGCATATGATCAAGAACCAATGGTATTATCCAGGTGGAGACCTGGTTGGTCAGCAGTGTTGCAAGACCTGGGGACTCCTGGGCCCAGAGTCAGTGACATAGCCACAGAGGACTAGAGTGGAGAGTGAAGCGTCCAGACTGTACAAAGAGAGGGCATATGCACAAGAACACCCACACTTGCAGATAATACCCTCTTGGCCTGGCTTCAATGGCTGGATGATCAGAAGTCAACTAGAAGAAGAAAAGGAGGGAAAAAATTGTATCAGATCAGATACAATTTGATGAATTTGACCTACACCTATGGATGCAGTAATTCAAAAGATGGAACAATCTTTATAGCAAGGATCATTCACAACCCCTCGATACACAGGGTAGACAGGGATGGGCAACTTGGACATTGGCTACCCAAAATGGGGGACTACAAAGGCAAGAAGTGATGGGCTTACAAGCTTTCAAGAGGGAACCTAGATCCAGAGGGCACAGAGGAAGGTAGAATCTTCACTGAATAGTATCCAATATGTCTGAGAAGGGCTGATGAAAAGAGATGGGGATGGCATTCATGTGGCAAAATAGTGAATAATTATTATCAGGACTGATTGTGAGGGTTGGAAATGTAAAGGTTGACGTTTTGTAGCAAAAGGAGGGGAGTGATTGACTTTGCAGCCCAGGAGCAGAGGACCCTGGGACCATCAAGGGAGAAGAGTGGAATACGGGACCCTACCCAGAGAAACAGTGGCGCCAGACATGGAGGCAGAGATGATGACATGGAGCAGCTGGGGACTTTAGACCCAGAGAGGGAGAGGGGCTGTGTGCTGACGACCAAGGGGCAGGCTTGCAGGGTATACCCTTTGGTTGGTTGATGATACATGGAGGGGATTGTAACCATGGCAATGAAATGATATACGATAGGATGAATGTAAAGCTAATGTCCTCCTCCCATGTAAACTATCACATAATTCACAATAAAACATTAAAAAAAACAAACAAAAAAACAATGGTATTAAAAGAAGAAAGAAGTCCAATCTGCAGTGAAAGCACTGAAGAAAAGCAAGGCTCCAGGAACTGGCATAGTACCAACTGAAATGTTTCAACAAACAGAAGCAGTGCTTGTCCATGCCAAGAAATTTGGAAAATAGCTACCTGGTCAACTGACTGGAAGAGATCCATATTGTGTGCTCATTCAAAAGACGGGTGATCCAAGGGAAAGTGGAAATCATATAACAAGATCATTAATATCACTTGCAATAAAAACTTTGCTAAAAGATAATTAAAAAATTTGTTGCTACAGTACATTGACAAGGAACTGTAAGAAATTCAAGATGGATTCAGAAGAGGATATGAAACAAGAGCCACCACTGCTGTTATTAGACGGTTCGTGGTTGAAAGATGTTTACCTGCTGCTTCATTAACTATGCAAAGGCATTTGACTATGTGGATCCTAACAGTGTATGGATAACACTGAGGAGAATGGGAATCCCAAACTATTCAATTTTGCTCATTTGGAACCTGTACAAAGATCAAAAGATAGCTGTTTGAACAGATCAAGATATTTGTTGTTGTTTATGGTTTAAAATCAGGAAAGGTATGTATCATGGTTGCATCCTTACACCATTCTTATTCAAGCTCCATGCTGGGCAAATAATCTGAGAAGCTGGACTTTATGAAGAATAATGCAGCATAAAATTGGAGGAAGGCTCATGAACAATCTGTGATATACAGATGACATACCCTTGCTTACTGAAAGGGCAGTGGACTTGAAGCACTGATGAAGAACAAAGACTCCAGCCTTCAGTGTGGATTATACTCAACATAAACAAACCAAAATCCTCACAATTGGACTCCTAAGCAATATCAATTGTCTTATATGCTTGGGAAAGTTGAAAAATGAAACAGGAAGACTGAAGAATTGATTACTTTGATTTACAGTTTTAGCAAAGAACATTAAATATACCATGTATTGTCAGAAGAACGAACAAATCTATCTTGGAAGAATTACAGCGAGAATGTTCTTTAGAAGCATGGAAGGCAAGACTTATCTCATGTACTTTGGACATGTTATCAGGAGGGATCACTTCCTGGAGAAGGACATCATGCTTGGCAAAGTGGAGGGTCAGCGAAAACGAGGGCTAAAGAAAGAGAAGAAAATGCCCAACGAGATGAGCTGACCCAGTGGCTGCAGCAAAGAGCTCAATGTAAGCATGAGTGTTAGGATGGTACAGGACTAGTCAGTGTTTTGCTGTGTTGTACATATGATTGCTGTGAATCAGAACCAACTTGGTGGAAATAACACCATCACTAATCTTGATAGATTTTCTTGAAGGACACAGGATTACTAAGGGAGTTTATTTTGAAAAAGTTTTAAGAAAATGGAAAATTACACTGGTGAAACAAAGGCCAGTAAAGTTGTGCTAAGGAATTTTTCTCCATCATGACAATGCACCGGCTCATTCTTCAAGGGTGGCAAAGGACTGTTCTACGAGAATTACCTTGGAAATCCTTACCCTGTACATCTTACAACCCTCAGACTTCTTTTTCATCCCCAAACTCAAAGAACATTTAAAAGAAACACAATTTAAGTCCCTCAAGGATGCCCAAACTGCTATTTTGACATGGCGTAATTTGAAGAGCTCAGAATTCTTCAGGGAAGGGCTACAGAAATGGAAACAAGGCCTTCAGAAGTATACAGACCGAGGTGGAGCGTATGTCAATAAACAGTAGCTTTTCTTAAAATTTCTATGGTTTTGCAGCAATACTTCTTGATGGTTCTAAGAAAAAAGTGTACAGGAAACAGTGTGACTGAAATTGCTTGCAGAAAGAAACACATGGTCATACCTGAAGAAAGACAAAACAGATACAAAAAAAGCTAATAATCTGGAGGTATTAAATTATGACTGTGAAGGCCACTTCAGCCTAGGTTGTTGTTTGGTGTTGTCGAGTCAAGTTCTAACTCATACTGATACTACGTACAACACGAGACATTGCCCAGTACTGCACCTGACTCACAGTTGTTTCAACCCACTGTGGCTGCCACTGTGTCAGTCCATCTCATTGGGAATCTTCCCCTTTTTCGCTGACCTTTCACCTTACCCAGTCCTACTCAATGGACTGGTCCCTACTGACAACATGTCCAAGATATGAGAAATGAAGTGTTGCTATTCTCACTTCAATTCTGGTGTGGGCTTGTTTTCATGTACACTTTTTTCTGTTTACCCTTGTATTTTTAGCTCACACTGTTTAAAATGAATTTACCTTCTCTCGCAATTCATCAACACTACTGCTTTCCAGCACAACTTCCTGGAAGAGATCCAACTTCATCTCTGAAGGCCTCCATCGCCTCGACAAAACTGCAAGCTGTGACATGGACTTCATCTTCTCTACCCCTAAAAGATGCAAGATTACGGCTTCATCCTGTTTGCTTCAAAGATTCCAAATTTTACTTTTCCTATGGTGCCTGACTAAATAGTAAGATTTACTTCAAGTACTATTCTTTAAAAGTGGGCAAAAAGAAACCAATTATCCAAAGATGTTTTGAGAATGAAATATTTACTCTCTTCCATCCAGTTTCAGAAGATAGCTCCAGCAGGACAGGCTACCCTACTGTCCTCCTGAAGCCACTCCCTCCTGATCCCTACTGGACAGTACTCTACAAATGATTCTCTTCTCTGGGTCTCCAATCTGCTTTTCTGTTGGCTACTACTTTACAATCTAAAAACACATTAGAATCTTTACTTTATCCTCCTTTTTCACTCAACCTATCATTAAATCAGTCGCTCTGGTGACCCCATGTATAAATTAATCCTTCTAAAGAAGAATTACTCCTAAATGTACTGACTCGTCAATATCCAGCGTCACCTTTCTCTCTGGTATACCCAGAGCCACTTGTACTAATTTGGTCCCTTAGTTTCTTATTGACAACTTCAAAATCCTAAGCTCTGATTCTCCCTCTAGACTGTGCTAACTGGAAGACAGTCACTGGTTGTTATTCATTTTTATAGTAACGAGCCTTGCAAATTACAGGCTTCTTACACTATCACATGGCATTTTCTTTGATGCTACACTATAAACTGAGACTGATGTGGACATCCACTATCCAATAACATTTCCTGGCTAATTCCTACAATACATACTCAATCTTTCCTTACAAGGGTGACTTCTATGTCCTTAATGGGCTCTTTCAGGCCTGCCCAGACAGGGTGATATTATCTAAGGGCCCCAGTCACTCAGAAAAGGGACCCAGATGTGGATCACTTGCCCATATACTGATAGTGAACAGTGTTCCAGCTGCTCCTTATCTCTCAGATTAACTTGTCAATTGATCGGTATTTCAACCATTTAAATTAAACTGCATTAGACCTGAAATAGCTTTGGTGAGGTAGTAGATGATCAAACTTTCTAAAGCTATCCTAATCTTATATAAAAACATCTAGAGCTTATACTTTAATTTCTACAGAATAAAATTAACATCTAAGTAACGGCAAAGTCATAAAATAATGCAGAACTAGGTATTTACCTTGATGTGGTCTCCCCAAAACCAATATTCACCCCATTGCATCCTCCAAATAACAGACTGTCTAAAATATACATAACAATCACTACCACCATTGATAATACTTGGAAGTATGACAAATTTAAGTGTTCTTTTTGGTTACTGTACTGAAAATCTCTGATAATTATCAATACGATAGCCTCACGGGGTAAAAATAAACCATAATTGGAGTGGGGGTTAAATTAAATAATAAACATGGCCAAGAAAACATTAACAGAACTTTCTGCAAAAAGTACTAAACATCTAACTTTGAAATTTCCATTTCCTCTAAGGGTGAATTACACATCTCAAAATTAGAGAAAAGAAGAAATGTTCAAAAGGAGAAGAGAACCTAGAGAAAGACAGCAGATTACTTAGTATCTTTAATCAGCAGGTTAGGACACAAGGGAAGAAAATCTCAGGGAGAGGACAAGGGTAGGATGATCATATTAATCTAGAACAACATTTCTTTACGCTTAATAAAATATAATTATACTATAGATTAGATTCCTGGCAACTCGTCATTTGATTTTTAAGAAAGTATAGGGCTTTTATTAGTTCAAGAAGATTCTAAAGTGATATTTCCCCATAAAAGTGTTGATAATACCATCAAGAACTTCAAGGAAAACCTCCCAGTTGCTGGAAATATTAATATCTTCTTCATAAATATGATAATCCAAAAAGACAGTGCCAGGATTCTTCCATGTTTTTTTCCTTAAGCGAAACCTACAAACATGATAAGGTATTTTAAATTATTATAATTTGAAATTCTGAACTTAAAAAATTGGCCCTGATAAAATGCCAAAGAAAAATGAACTATGCTTAAATACCAAAGCCAAATGGTTACTGATTAAAATCTAGGGGAAAATGTATAAAACACTCCCCCATACTACATGCCTGGTATCCTCCAGAGGAATTTCAAGTAGAATTCTAAAGCTTTTGTTTAGTCCTGTCAACTTAATCTGTAGTCCTAAAATTTTGAATAGTACAGGACTTTCACATTTGTCTGGCTTTAGAAAAATCATACCAGTCCACATCCATTAGCTACACATTCGCTCTTCAAATCCTGCATGATACTCTAATTTTACCTTACCTGTCAATACTGAGCTCTAAACCACTTTGCTCCCTGAGTTGGGGAATTAATTCCTCTTTTGATTGCCGTACAGTCATTCCTTTAGCAAACACAGCATCTAGCAGAAACTTGCAGGGCTAGGAATATAAACATTAACAATAATGCTTCAATTGCACCTCAAAGTAAGAAATAATAAGACATTTTATTTGTACTTTTAATGTGACAATGAAGGGCCTGAGTTTAGGAGTCCTGTATTTCCAGGTTCAAATCCTTGCTCCACTACTAGCTGTACTATCTTCAGCAAGTTTACTTACCATCTTAATGCCTCAGTTTTCTCAGCTATAAATTGGGGATAGTATCATTACTAGGCCATTGTGAAGATTAAAGAAGACAATGCATTCAAATTTCTTTTTATAAAATGATCACAATTTTGAAAATGAAAAGAACTTTTATGGTCGAAACCAAGAGAAATGCATATTAATTCTTCAAATACATGATGTGTCAAGAGACAGAATCAGAAACACCAAATTTAAATATATAAGTTGAAATGTAATAAGTTACACTGAAGAGATATGATGGATGGATGCCTCCACTTCCCAAAACATGGTTAATAAAGACCTTTTATGAAAAGTTTATCGCCTCGTTTGATATCTGGGTTTTCAAAATTACATCAGTAAGATGTTACAAATATCCTGAAAATAGAACTCATGTCTTATTCTTTTGGCTACTTGCTTATATATGACAGAAACTAAAGTATTTAGCAGATTACTCCCTTAAAATTACAACATTGAGAACCGGAACTAAGAAAAGATCAAATGAACGAGGCAGCTTAGTATAGTGATTACAAATACAGATGCTGAGTCACAGAACCTGTGTAGTTTTTGAATCTACCATTTACATGCTGTGTGACCTTGGGCAAGTTACTTCACCTCTCTGTGTCTCAGTTATTTAATCACAGAATGGAACAATATATATAGCATTTATAGCATAGTTAATTAATGAGGATTAAATGCATTTTTAGTGAGTTAATTACAAATTTCAAGAATGTTTTTAAGTTTATTCTGTTGTATACAGAACTGCTATGAGTCAGAACAGACTCAATGGCATCTAACAATAACCGATATTTAAATGCCTGTTAAGTATGAAAATGACTCCATGAACACAGTAAGTAAGTACGACTATGCTCTACAGGTCAACTACTATCCCCCTATACCAGTATGAGCATATAATCATTCTGACAAGGCAAGCACAAACAGAGCCCTTTTAAAAGCATTGAAATTTTGCCTTGCCCCAGCATTTGTAGTAATACTTTAGATGGAGATGGCAAACAGTGGCCTGCAGGGCAAATTCAGTCCATTATCTGCTCCTCTAAACAAAACTTTCTTGGGACATAGCCAACCTCATTCATTTATAGACTGTCTATGGATGCTTCTGTGTTACAACAGCAACAGCTGAGCCAGATGCTGCTTTAGAGAAATAAAGAGAAACTGGCTAATGGTTGTGTGCTGCCGAGTTGGTTCCAACTCGTATGGACCTTGTCTAGGGTTTCCGCGGCTATACATATTTAATGGGAGCAGAAAGCTTTATCTTTCCCCTGACGAGGGGCTGGTGGATTCCAACTGCTGACCTTGTGGTTAGCAGCCCAACAGGTAACTAACTATACTACTAGAGCGCCTTCAAAAAGAAACTAATACTAGTAAGATTTCTTCATTGAATGCTTTTAATAACTTCAAGATATAACTTCACATTATATTACTTACCTCTTGTTCATTGACTAAAAGTTGGTACACTTTTACACGGTATTCTCCTTTTTTAAGAGCTCTCCCCAGTCTAATTGTGATCTATAAATTAAAAACATTTGTTTTAGATGTACTGTTCCAGCAGAATAACGACCCATTCTCACCCCATTGTTTAGTTTTGCTTCTGAAAATTCTTTAGCTCTTTGAAAACACGCATGTATTTTTTATCTCTTGTCTCTAACACCTAGAACATAACTGACACACAGTTAACATTTAACACTGTTGCTTAATTAAGCAAAATGAATAACCACTAAATATCAAAGAAAAATGATCTTTTCAGGGTATCCATTTTACCTTGCTTGGAAATAGCACAAAGTGCTCTCAAATCTATCATTTTAAAAAAGACCTAACTACTCAAAGACTATTTTCTTCAACCTTATTGTCATCTGAAAATGACGAAAGTGTCTCATTCAGCCGGACGCTCTCAAACTCCTGATTGCTGGCATAGACTCGGAAGACCTTGAAGTGAGAGGACAAAACTCCAACAAAGGGCTCTAAATGCTGTTTGAAAGCGGCCAGGGTAATTCTTTTATCAACGTGCACCATCAACCCTAAGCAAAAATAAAACAAAACAGAAACAAATTTTTTTAAAAAAAGAATGCAAAGTATAAATAAAATAGATAAAACTTTTCATTATGCTGTAAACAAGAATAAATACCCTTCAACTAGTTACTTAACTTTTAGCTAATCTATTATACTAAATGGATAAAAATCATGGACAATGAGTATTTAACAGGTATAATCTGACAGCTTTAAATCTTCGGAGACACTTTAATGGCTTTTATGGTTTTTTTTTTCTGAATTAAAACCAAACTCCCAAGAATGCCCACAAAGGAGAATACTCATTGTTCAACAATAATAGTACAGACCTTGACTGAGGTGCAAACCTGTCTCTTCTGCTTAGAACAGTCATCTGCCAACTCTGTTTCTTCATTTGAAAAGTGGAGATGACAACAGTACCTCGCCACGTACTGGAGAGTGGTGTCAATGAGGTAATACATTTATCAAGCATCTAGCACAGTGCCAGACATATAATGATTGTGTAAAAATTTGCTAGTAAATCTACTTCTGGTATTTCTACAAAGAAGTTTCAAGACCAGCATATGTGTGTTTTATCACAAAGCTGGATGATAACAGAAAGTTATCTAAACAATCAGAAATGCCCTCAGCCCTACAAGGTTTAAACTTAATCATTTTTGCATTCTAATAGAGTTATCTTTGACTAATTTTTTTAAATGTTTATTTTAGTCTTTGTCCCTTATTTTATAAGCCACTTATGAGAATTCTTCTGGAATGTTCCTATTTATAGTTCTGGTCTTTATTTTCTAGCAAAGAACAAACATCTCTTTTTCTTAAGAGGCAGTGCAGAATACCACAGCTGCTATGGCTGGGTCATGGACTACCTACAGAACTAAAAAAAACTTTGGGTTCACATTTTCAAGCCATCCAAACTCCAGGGCTGATAAATTTCTGAGTGGAATAGTCAAATAACTTAATGTTCACTAGTTGTTTCGCTGGTATAAAGATTCACTATACAAAACATGGCAAGTATGAATCAGAAGAAACTACAAGCAGAGTGACAAGCTTTTGTTTACTGTATACCATTTGCGGCACCATTTCTTTTAATTTGCTTGCATGCTAATTTCTAAGCTTTAATGTGTGTTCCAAAATTTTAATATTCTAGCTTTTGGCAAACAATCCTTTAATTATGCAGTCCAGCAAGCTGCAACTTAAAAAATTACTTGGGTCTTTTTCTTTCTTTTCTCTTACATATTTCTTGAATGAGGTGGTAACTAAAATTGTACCAAGAAATTTCAGTGCAAATACTCTAATTATCCTTTTTATGTCATTACTTTGGCCTGCCTGCAGAACACAACTGGGACATACTGAGGCAATATTTTCAGGAAAATGTCTATAATTCCTCTCTGAAACAATTCCTAGATAGATCTTACAGGCTATATAGACTACCTAAGTGAATTGTCCATACTGTACATAGCATGTCATTTCATGTACCAAATTGTTTAGCTCTTCCGTTTTGCCATTTCAACGCCCTGGAAAGCCTGTCTTATTACCCATCAGTCGTGTCTCCCCCAGGCCTCAAATTTCAGATCCTTGAGGAGCCAGCCTTAGTACAGACTTCTGAAGAGCCTTGGCTGCTAGTTATCATCCATTCTCCCTCCCCTATTGTTAAACCAGCTTTCTAACTGTTACAAGGCATTTTTCACTTTTTCTTTTCAAACAAGGCTTTTGAATGCCTAAATAAAATACAACAAATGGTTTCTCTTCAGCACATTTACTATTTCAATGAATGCTAGCAAAAGAGTCCAGTATAATTTTCTAAAAAGTTTACGAAATGGTCAGTGATTACTTTCAAAAGACTTCAAGAACTATTCTGGATGAGAAATGAGACTCCTCGGACTACATATTTAAATACCTCCAATGACTATTTCTTCAGTTATTATCCAGTCACATTTTTTGAACATCATTGTAAAACGAACCACTTAACAGAAATTTCCAACATTTTCCTGAAGATGAGCCACTTTCAGTTCCCCCCATACCTCTGGAAGGTTTGAGTATGATAAGGAAGCAGAGTATCACTGGCTGCTTTTCCTTACTATGTTGGGGGACCCTCATAAAGCAGAATAAGTAAATAACAGTGGGATAGCACTATGGGGTAGTGAAATGCAGGTCACACTTACAGTGAGAATACCTGGTTCCAACTCCAGCAATGTGACCTCACACAAATTACTGAACCTGTTTGAGTCACAGCTTCTTTATCAGTGAAAACAGTGATAAAGAGACTAACAACATCAGTTTTACTAACAGAAGCCTGCGCGGTACTGTGGTTAAAGCACTCAGCCATGAACGGCAAGGCCGGCATTACGAAAGCACCAGCTGCTCCAAAGGAGGAAGATGTGGCAGTCTGCTTCTGTCAAGACTTACAGCTTGGAGACCCTATGGGGTAGTAGTCCTACCCTGTCATATAGGGTCACTTTGAGTTGGAATCCACTTAATGGTAGTGGGTTTGGTTTTTGGTTTGGTGAAGAAAACAAAATGAGATAATGTAAGTTAACGAGTCTATTGAGGTGAAAGTCCCATACATATTAGTCATTTGGTTCTAGTGTTATTCAGACCTATTGTGATAAAAACACAATTTTATGCATTTTTATACTGATTTCATAATTTCTACCACTTCCTATTAAAAAGAAAGAATTCTGGGTTATAAGCATTACAGTGCATAACTTTTATAGTATTTATAAACTTTACAACTACATTAAAACAACTACCTTATGCATCTTAGTTAACTCTACTTCTAGTAGTTACAAAGTATCTAGTATCTAGCATGAACTCAGGAAATACTGATTAGCTGGGTGGATGTTGAAGAAGTGGGACTCTCTTCCAGGCCTAAAACAAGCAAGTGCATTCCATTAGTGGCCTTAAATTCTTATAATGGGTCCACTACTTACTAGCTATACATGGACTTTTGGGCAAGTCACTGATCCTCTATGAGCTTCAGTTTTCTTCTCTGCCAAATGAGGATATTAATATTTGCTGTATTCATTTCAGAAAAGTTTGAAGAACAAAAATGTTTTGGAAACTAAAATGCAAGGGCTAATATTAATATCTCTTCTTAAAGAAGTAACTACTATGAAGCATTTAGTTTTTCAGCTATTTCTCACTTATACCTGAATTCTGTATATAGAACTTGGTGGTCCTGCTAATTCTTTGGTTTCAGTCCAAGATATGATAAAAATGCCTTTAATATTTTTAGTCTTATATAATATTCTATTTTTGATGTTACTTGTCTAATAAGCTCCCCTCCCCCCAATTTTTTTAAAAAAAATAACTTCCATTTTTTGAGATTATGCAAGTTGAAATTTCTAGGTTGTACCTTGACTATCACTTCAAAGTACCAAATTAAAAAGAGAAAACAAACAGAGCCAAACAAAACAAAGGGCTCCTTTTTTTCCCTCTGAGTTTCCTGATTAATAAGGACTTTCTTCAGCTTGTAAGGAGTTGCTATTGTTTTGGAGAATGAAGAGAAGAGAGGGATGTACAAATAAAATAACTTTGCTGGGTACTGAATATCAAATTTGCTAAAGGGTCTAGACTTTTATTAATATATTTTTCACTTTTAAAATTATTCACTATTTTTAAAATTTAGTACTTTTACCGTAATTCTTTCATAATATTGACTACTTAAAAATTTTTCTTAACTAAATTTCTGATACAATTAGTCATATAGCTCTGATGTGCTACGTAAGTCTAACAATGTTATTCATTATAACTACATCAAAAATGGACACTAGGGCAACAGAAAACCACCTTATAATCCAGGGGCTATGGGAGGTTTTAGAACTTAGTACCTAACACTTAGCTGATTCTTCCCGTAACTAAACATCTAAATGAACTAAGAGAAAAAATGATGCTACTTCAAACACAATTTTTTGTTTGTAAGTACATACATTTATGTCCTTCCCCAGAACCTTCATCTGCCGCATACGGTTCTGCTTTGAAATACATATACTGTGTTTCTCCCCTACTCTTGCCACTCTCATCATATTCACTATCAGTTCCAGAGTCTTCTTCTGCTGTATCCCAGGTTTCTTTTTTCCCTTCATTTGCTTTTGTTCTTCTACTGCTTGTGATACTATGAGAGTCAAGTCCATTAGCCAAAGGGATTTGAGCATTATCTGCATTGCACAAAGTATCACTGCTGTGACTGGAGCTAAGAATATCACTGTCTACTGAACTGGTACTCCTGTCATTATTTACATCTGAGTCGGAGCGTTCTTCAGATTGAAAGTTTTCTGGATCAGAAGTCTGAATATGCTGCTCCAGTTCTCTATTATCCACTGATGCTGAAGAGTCTCTCTCGTTGAGAGGTGATTCGATGTTCTCAAAGTCACTAGTTTCAGTACTCTTGCTGCTGTCCCCATTATCTCCATCCTGCTGTTGCTGTAATGACAAGCTTTTGAGTTTTTCAGTGCTTTCTTCTAAAATAGCTTCCACAGACTTCAGGCTTCCAGCAGGTCCTTTAACTCCTTCACAATCATCATCTACATTACCAGAATCACCCCCAGCTTTCTGGTATGCTGTCCTTTTGTAATAAGATCCTGGGGATTGTTCAGGTAACAACACAAATAATCTGATTGTATTGGCATGTCGATCCAAGAGTTTCCATAAATGAGAGTCTGTAAAGGCCATCTGGTAATCCAAAGTCTCGGAACTTTCAACAAATACCTAAATAGTAAGTCAAAGAGTTATATTACATGATTAATTTCAGTGGTATGCTCATTAATCATAAGAACAATATCAAGATAATACTTAAGTTATAAAATCTGGAATGATAAAGAGCAAACTTAAAGTTGCTGAAATCCAGTATTCACTGTTAGGACACTAAATATTAGGTTCATATTTTTTGTAACTCATCATAAAACTGTGCTAAAATAAGAGTGAACATACATATACATCTTCTTTATTAGGTTGGCCATTTCCTAAAAGTCAATATCCTTGACTTTCAGTATCTTTCATATCTTGCATTCAATATCCTGCTCTTTAAGAAATCTAAGTTCAGCATGAATACAGATAAAGGAACATATACCCTCACCAAAATTTAGATTGCAGAAAAATCTAATAGCTTCATTTCATGAGCAAATGAACTGCAACAAACTAGAGAGATATAGGGGAATCTAAAGATTAAAACAGACTTAAGAGTTACATCATGGACTTTATTTGGATCCTCATTTGAACATATAAATGCTATTTTAAAAAGTTTATAGGATAATGAGGAAAAATTTGAACACTTACTAGCATTGTCTGGTATTAAAATTTAGTTAACTTTTTAGGTATAAGAGCATAATTGTGGTTTGGTATTTTTAAAGAGCGCTCATCTTTTAAAGATACGCATTGCAATTATTTAAACATCAAATAATAAGATACTAAAGACATGATTGTTATAATATGGAAGATCGAAAAATAAAACCTATTTAAATTGATCCTATAGTCCTCAAGCTGATTCCGGCTCCCAGTGACCCTATAGGAAAGAGTAGAACTGACCCATAGGCTTACGAAGGCTGTAATCTTTACAGAGGATGACAGTGGCTCTCTAGGATAAGCACTGGACTTTCAATCAAAAGATTGGTGGTTTGAGCCCACCAGCCACTCTGAGGGGGAAAGATGAGGCGGAGCTTGAAAAAAAAATTGTAGAGAGAGGGACCATCGAATCAGTTGTGACCCTGTATAGGGTTTCCAAGGAGCAGCTGTTGAGTTTGAACCACCAACCTTGCAGTTCAAACTGACGGTGCAGTCCACCTCATTAACCCACAGTGCCATACCAGGACTCCAGATGGGTGGTTTGTTGTTATTGTTAAGTGCCATCAAGTTGGTTCTGACCCATAATGACCCTGTATGGGGTTTCTGAGGAGTGGCTGATGAGTGTGAACTGCTGACCTTGCAGTCCAGCACATTAATCTGCAGCACCATACCAAGTGGGTGTGGGTGGCAGTGCATGAGAAAAGGCCAAAAGAGAGAGAGAGAGAACCCTTATGTGGCCTGACCACAATATTGGGAGGTTGTGAAAATTTACATTTATACACAGATGTTAGTATAGTATATCATTACCTTTCTGATTACCTAAGTATGAACCCCTTGAAATCATCTGGCTTTGAAGGCCAAGCTTGTAAAGTCTGAACCAGGACTTTGAACCTGTTCATTCCAGTCTGATACACTGCTGAGAATTTGCATTTCTGATACAGACATACTGAGTCCGAATATACATTTGAGTAAGTTCCCCAGACTTTTATAGATGTGTACATAAGAATAATCTGGTAATTACTAAGAATTACCTGAGCATCCTGTTAAAATGTGGATTCTATTTGTTGTTTCTACAGACGTTGTTAAGTGCCATCGAGTCGGTTCTGACTCATAGCAACCCTGTATAGGCTATCCAAGGAGTAGCTGGTGGGTTTGAACTGTCGAACTTGTGGCTCACAGCCCAGTGCTATTTCTGAGGTAGGAAAACATATTCTCAGCAGGAGATTGAACTCTAATGAACTGACTCAAAGCCCTGGTCTGAACTGCATTTCATTTACCATCACCAGCATTAGAAAATAGTAACTAAAAAAGAAAAGACATACCTTGTTACTTCTGAAAAAACCTTCAGCTTTCAGAGTTTTACTAGGTACACTGAGAAGACGCAAATCATTGTAGCAGCGTTCCAGCACTATTCTCATTGTTTCAGCAGGTAGATGAACAGCCTATAAGGAAAACCATTGAATTAAAATGTACTTTTTCAAATATAATTGTTGGGCTTTAAAATAAGAGAAAACAAGATACTGCTGAAAAGTAACATGAAAAAATTAACAGAAAAATAATTTTAGTGGATGTTATAAATTTTTAAGAATCTAGTGCAGCACTGGATTGCAAGTTCAGTTTGAACCTCAGGTTGGCGGTCCAAATTCACCAGCCACTCCTCAGAAACCCCATACAGGGTAGCTGTGAATCGGAAATAACTTGATGGCACTTAACAACAACAATAACAAGTAAAAATTATTATTTCTACCCATTAATTATGCTATACATCAGGAGAACAATGTATCACGTATCCATGAAATCTCTGAAACTATTTTCAAAGGAAATGTGGTGAGAGGATTCCACAATAAATTGACTAACTATCAGAGTGCTGATACCAAGCCAATGGCTGCTTACCTTCTTGGCTTTTGACAGGCTCTTCAGTATATTGTAAATACTGTTAATTAATACTTTTGCTAAATAAGTTTTCTTCCATGAAAAAGGAAAATTTTAAATTAGAAAGTAAAATTTACAGCTATTCTAAAATGCTACATCTCTAATTTTTGGTGTCTTTTTATAACCAATGAAACAAGCAGATAAATATAATTTACAATCTAAAAATCATAATTTGTTTCTAATACAAATTATGTGATATTAATTCTTAATACCTCTTCAGTCTATTTATACTTCACACCATCGATGCTGACACAGTATTTTTAACTGCCTTTGTTTTCTTCAGCTATGCTCTGGTAGCGTAGTGGTTACGAATTGGGCTGCGAACCTTAAGGTCAGCGGTTTGAAACTACCAGCTGCTCCGCGGGAGAAAGATCAGGCTTTCTACTTCCGTAAAGATTTATACCCTTGGAAACCCTGTACAGGGTCGCTATGGGTCGGAACCGACTCAACAGCACTTAACACAACACACATGCTTTCCTCTGATAATATTACTGGTTTCCTTAGGAAGGGCCTATGTGCTTCTTCCGGAGGAGACTGCTGTATGTTTCTTTTGTATTCCATTTCAGTTCTTATACGCTACATTAAACTAAAAATTTTTAACCTTGTTTTTATATCATCTGACTTTTATATTTAGCACTAGTATTTTCAAAAATCAAATATAAAACCATGTAAGTAGTATATATTTACAAGCAATTTAATCATAAAATATTGCTTAACAGCATGGTTCATTTCCTAACTATAATTTAGAAATAATTTTTAAAATATCATCATCAAATATTATTATTGTCATTACTTCTACTAACATACCAGACTTTTATACAGTATTGTTGTTTTTTCTTTCTCCACATTGCAGCATTACATTAAAGTCCACACCAATCCTAATTATTAAGCAGGTATTTAAAAACCCCAGATAATGAGAAAAAAGACTATATACTAAGATGAATTGGGCTGCTAACCACAGGTCAGCAGTTTGAAACTACCAGTTGTTCTGTGGGAGAAAGATGAGGCATTCCGCTCCTATAAAGATTTACAACCTCAGAAACCCTATACAGGGTCGCTATGAGTCGGAAACGACACCACAGCACATAATAACAACAACAAAATAGTAAGATGAATGAGTATACAAATTGGGCTCAATTTCCTAACTGAATTATTGAGAAATTTCCACCATACCAACAGTTCTTAACCAAGGTTTCAGAAACCCTGCACAATTTTGTCTATGTTTATATAGTCAAGTTCATTCAGAGCTTACACAAGGTTATATAGAGTATATTGTTGTTGTTAAGTGCCATGAAGTCGGTTCCAACTCATTGTGACCCTGTATAGGGATTCCAAAGGTCAGCTGGTGAGTTTCCACTCCCAACTCTGTAGTTCAAATTGACCTTGCAGTCCAGTGCTGATCCTACAGTGTCACGCCAGGACTCCATACAGAGTACATGACCCCTAAATCATTTCTCTGGAGTGGACTAATCCTTTTGTCCAAGTAAATCTGGATGCTTTTATCATATTTTTCCAGGTAAAAAATTCTGAATGACCCTATGCTCTTTATCAACAATCCACATCATATGGACAATATTCAGTTTTTCACCTTTCTTATCAAATTTTCCCCCTAATCTTATTCCTCTATTTTTGTCAACGGCAAAGTCTACCTTTCTGGTAACCTAAGTTTGAACCCCTTGAGGTCATCTCTACTCCTGCTTTACCCACAACAATTACCAATACAAGTCCTGTAGATTACATTTATATACTTTCTCTTGCAATCTGGGCCTTCTCTCATTTCTAGTCATATGCAATATTCATAATTCATCTGAATTGTTTCAATACCCTACTTCCTGCTGCCTATACCAAACAGAATCCCAACTTTTGTGTTACTATTTAAAGTCCTCCATGAAATAAACCAAACTTACATTCTCAGGCCCGCAATGAGCCAAACAAAACATATCACTGTTCTTTGCAGTTGCTTCACACTTTGTTACCTCCAGACTTGGCTCCATCTTTTTTCCATTTGAATAACTCTTCTCTCCTGACTACAGTTGTCTCCTGTATTAGCTCCTTGAAGTAGATAGAGCCTTCCTCATATCCATACTATCACACAGTGCCTTGCACACTGCAGGCACTCAACAATATTTACTGATCCATTTTGAAACTTACCTTTGAAATTAGTTGTTTGAATTCTGTAATTGTCTGATTTAAGTAAGCTCGAACAGTTACAGGAGCAGCAACAGATTCTGCCTTTAGATCAACAACATGAACTTTCACCATCACTTCTGTCACATTTGAAGACAAAAATAGAATTGACAATTATTTTTAAAATATATTACACATGAGCAATGGATTCTTAAATGTTTCTAATAAATAGAAAAGATAATAGTTTTGTAGTTACCAAGAATGCAGACATACAAGGGTAAGTCAAAAAGTATTGCTACTGGGGTTCTAGTTCATACATGTACAGGTTTATTCCAAACAAAACCTATGTAAACATGTCTCTGTGATCAGGGTGGCTGCAGGCACATTCTCTCAGTGATACAGATGTCTTAGTCTTGTTAGGTTTCCCGGGGCATCTACTAGGCCAGTTACAATCAAGGCAGAGAGTTCAGCTCAGGTTATGGTAACTGTTTTTTGGTTTCCATAGGGGTAATGTTGATGGATTTTCTCAAAGGACACAGAATGAAGAAATTTTAAGAAAACGAAAAATTTCACTGGTGAGAAATAGGCCAGGAAAGTTGTAAGTGCCGTCGAGTCAATTCCAACCCATAGTGACTCTGTATAGGGTTTCCGAGGAGCAGCTGGTGAGCTTGAACTGCCAACTTGTAGTTCAAATGGCTTTGCAGTCTGACACACTAGCCCACAGCGCCACACCAGGACCACAAAACTAGCTAGAGGGCTAGAAATACCACCTTCAGAAGTGTACAGACATAGAGGGAGGCTGTGTCAAGAAACAACAGCTTCACAGTCTCATGTATTTGTTAATAACGGCCTCTACGATTGTGTACGAGTCCTGGTGTGGTGCTGTAGATTAATGCGCTGGACTGCAAAGCCAGTTTGAACTGCAAGGTTGGTAGTTCAAGATCACCAGCCACTCCTCAGAAACCCTATACAGGATCGCTATGGGTAGGAACCAACTCGACAGCACTTAACAACGACAACAACTGTGTAAAGAGCTCTGGTGCATAGTGGTTACAAGTCGGGCTGCTAATATCAAGGTCAGCAGTTTGAACTACCAGCCATTCTGCAGGAGAAAGATGAGGCTTTCTACTCCCATAAAGATTTACAGTCTAGGAAACCCTATGCAGGGTCACTATGAGTTGGAACCGACTCCATGGCACACCACTACCACCATGATTGTGTAGCAATACCTTTTGATTTACCTCTATATAATATGCATGTTAATAATTCTCTCACACAATTTATAATACAAATGTATATAAGACAAAAATGAGACTAATAAAGTCATTTACATTTTAAAAATAAAATGTTAAACAGGACTCTTCATTAAGAAATATTACTTTTTGATCTATGTATTATACATTATTTACAAAAGTCAAAATGTGCTTTTACAAAGATTTATTTTTTGAATCACTGATCAAAAGTATCCCAACAACAACTAAAAAGTTCTGGATCAGATGGCTTCACTGGGAATTCTATCAAACATTTAAGGGAGAACTGATTCAATACTCTTTAAACTCTTTTCCTGGTGTGGTACTGTAGGACCAGCACTGGACTGTGAACCACAAGGTTGGCGGTTCAAACCCATCAGCTTATCCTTCAAAACCCTGTACAGGGTAGCTATGAGTCAGAATCGATTTGAAGGCACTTAACAACAAAGGAAGGAGTAATCTCTACCTCATTCCATGAAGCAAACATAAGCCTGATACTCAAACTAGACAAGGACACCACACAAGAAAGAAATTTACAGTCCAATATCTCTTAAGAATATAGATACCAAAATTCTCAACAAAATAGCAGCAAACCAAATGCAATTGCACTTTCCCCCTTCCTGGGCCATCTTGGCAGTTGCTCTTGGCTGGGGTCCGTGTCACACTTCAGGCAAGAAGATAGTGGCCACATAGACAACGAAATTCTTTTTAACAATTTAGTAAAATACTTTACCAAAAAAGTGAAGAGACAAGGAATCGATTACAAGAAAAACTTCAGAGACCATGTATGTGACAAGAATATAGTTACCAAATATAAATAAAGCTTTAACAAAAAAGACAAATAACCCAATCATAACATGGGCAAACGCCTTGAACAGACAATTCGCCAAAAAAGGATATTTAAATGGCCACAAAACACATGGAAAAATGCCCAGTGTAATTAGCAATCAAAGAGACATATTAAAACCACAATGAGATGTCATTTCACTCAAACTAAGATCAAAACAAACAAAAAACCCTAAACAGTTGAGGTAAATAGTGATTATATATATACACAACTTCGGAACAACAATGTACTGTAGATATGTGGACAGAGATGCATGCTGAATGGGTACGGGAGGAAGAGTAGAATACATATATTATCGTTAAAAGCTGTCAACAGGGTTCCGACTCAAAGCAACCCTGTATAGGGTTTCTGAGGAATGGCTGTTGAGTCTGAACTGCTGACCTTGCAGCTCAAGATGACCTTGTGGCCCAGTGCTTTCATATACACTTATTTATATTTATGTAACAATTTTATATTTACATATCCCATAGATATGAGTTTGAAAGAGTATACTGGTACACAACTATGAATGTGGTGGGACATATAGTGGGCAAATGAAGAAAACTTCTTAGATATCAAGCATCTGGGTGCTCAGGCCCATTAGTCTCAGGGGACAACATGGTGAATTGGCATAACATAGTCCACAAAGACAATGCTCTACATTCTACTTTGATGAGTAGAGTCTGAGATATTAACGAGTGGCCATCTAAGGTGCAGCTGTTGATCTCCCCAGACGCAGAAGTACAAAGAGTGATGAGACTAACAGAACATGTGAACATCAATCTCTATGACTCTAGAGACCAGAAGAACTAGATAGTGTCTGGCTATCACTAACAACTTCTCTGAAAGGAATAACATTAGAAGGTCCCAGATAAAGTGACAGAATATGGAATAAACTCAAAATTATTTAAGAAAAAGAAAAGAAAAAAGACTAATTTGAGACTATGGCCCTCAACCATCCTTCAGGTCTGGAAAGGAACTCACCCTAGGGTCCAACTAGTCAAGCAGTAAATAATTATATAGGTGGGGACAACAAAACTAGTAAGGAATGTTCACTATGAATGGTGGAACAGTCAATCATACAGAGTCAAAAGGGCAATATGTACCTAAGGATAAAGGTGAGTAGGGATGGATGGGTGGAAAGGAAATAAGACCCATAGTGAAGATGCAGGATAAACAGGAAATTACAAATGTTGGTGAAGATAAAAGGAAATGTTTAATCCATTGACAAACATTATGGTGATTTCTCAAAAACCTAAAAATAGACATATTATGTGGCCTAGTAATTCCACTCTTACATGTACACACAAAAGACTTAAAAGACACTAAAACAGAAACTTGTACACCATTATTCATTGTAGCACTATTTACTAAAGTCAAAAGGTGGGAACAGCCTAAATGCCCATCAACAGAAGAATGGATACACAAAACAAGATAAATACGTACAATGGAATATTTCTTGGCCAACAGCAGAAATGAGGCCTTGATACATGTTACAATTTGGATGGAACTTAAAGACATTTGTTGTTGATAAGTGCCATTGAGTTTGTTCCAATGCATATAGTGACCAGGATGGGGTTTCTAAGTAGTAGCTGGTGGGTTTGAACTGTCGACCTTGTGGTTCATAGTCCAGTGCTGATCCTATAATGTCCTTAAAGATGTTGTTGTTCAAGTGCCATGGAGTCAGCTCCAACTCATAGCAACCCTGTACAGGGTTTCCAAGGAGCAGATGGTGAACTTTAACCTCCAACCTTGTTGTTCAAACCGACCTAGTAATCCAGCACATTAACCCGCAGCACCACACCAGGACTCTTTAAAGATACTGATGTTAAGTGCCGTTAAGTCGATTCTGTATAGGGTTTCCAAAGATCAGTAGGTGAGCTTGAAGCTTCGATCTTGCGATTCAAACCAGCCATTCCTTGGAAACCCTATATGGGCTTGCTATGAGTCAGAATCAACTTGAAGGCACTTTAACAACAAACAACAACAGGAGCACGAGAGGAGAAAAAAGGATTTAATGGTGATGGTAAAATCAGTTGATATAAGGATGGGGTTGCATTGCTGATTACTGTAATTGCCATTAATAAGGTGACGTGGTGTGTGTCCCCGCTCAGCAGAGGGGGAGCGGCTCAGCTACAAATGTGCAACTCCCAGGAGTTGGACGCGGGTTGGTCCCTGGGGTCTCCCATTTGCTGCCACCACCCCCACTTTCCGGCCACCTGGTCGTTTAGTCCTAGAGGCTGAAGCGCCCCTTGGAGATGTGACCACAACTGTGGCCAGTGCTTAAGTCAGTGAGCTCCACTTCCGGATTCCTGACCAGGCAGCTCTGAGCCTTTTTCCCCCATTTTAGTATGAGTATCTTTTCTTAAAAGTCCTGGTGTGGTGCTGTGGGTTAATGCGCCATACTGCAAAGCCATTTGAACTGCAAGGTTGGCGGTTCAAGCTCACCAGCTGCTCCTCAGAAACCCTATCCTGGGTCACTATGGGTTGGAACTGACTCGATGGCACTTAACAACAATATCTTTTCTGAAAGCTTTTGCAATTATGATCTTATACAATATTCTTCTGTGACTGATTTCATTCAGCATAATGTCCTCAAGATTCATCCTTGTTATGTGATAGTTTATATTGCTGGTGTGAGATGATATCTTATTGTTGTTTTGATTTGCATCTCTCTAATGGCTAGTGAAGGAGCTCAGGTAGCGTAGGGGTTA